GGGGGGCACAATGTCTGCACAGGAGCAAATCAACTCCTGCAACCAACACCAATAACAGATTTTTTGTTTGCATTTAGACCGTTTAGACAAATTAATAATTTAAATAGGTATTTTGTTTTTTTTTTATTTTGGTAATAAGAAAGTGATGGGGTTTATAGTATGATGCAGATATTTAAATATACATATGTATGTATGTCAACAATTGTTAATTCAGTTAGTGAAGATCAGTGGGAATAGCTTTGAGTTAAATAGTTCATGGCCATATAATAATTTGTCTGCTAGAGTTAGCAAATATAAGGAAACTATGCATTGTTCAAATTATATAGACCTCGACAAAAATCTTTATATAAACTTATACCACAGCCTCGTCCTCAATGAAAATTAAGTTTCAACCTTTCCAGCAAAGATAAGGCATAGCAGTGATACAGAATTAAGAATACTACTTACATATATTCTGGTTAGATATCTAACCCGCTTAGGTAACGAATACTTCTAGCTATGTTTATGCTTTAAATGCTATTCGATCTGCACCTTTCGCTCACTCAAATCTATTTTCTGAGAGATGACGCCAGATTCGCTTCCAATGTTCATTTTGAAACGCTTTGCGGAAATCGGGATCTCTTCATTGCTTAAAACGATATTACGTTTCCAGGCGACCATGTCGGGAAATTGCAATTGCGGTCCAAAGTTGTTGTTGTTATTGTAACAGCATACAACTTCCCCAAAGAGCTTTTGGGGAGTGTTGCAGGAGTGACAGTCCTTGGCCAGATATAAATCTGGGTCGTTCCGGTTATGTAGACCCGACTGTCGTGCGGTCAAAGTCAGCTTCCACACTTCTGTACTGACCCCGGCAATGTTCAGAATGGAATCAAGGCTCTTGCCTTTCTCAGCCTAATTCTCAGAGCGTCTGTTATTTGGTTAACTTCATCAGCCAAGGGTAAAAGGTGGCAAGGATCGCCTTTTCAGCGTGCATGCTGTTACAACAACAATAACAACAACAGAATTTTAAAGTAGTCTACCAAAATGGTGGTGAAAATCATTTCACGCACGGCAGCTATGCTAATAAGAAAACGAAGGAGCCGCCTTTGCCGTCAATTCGCAGCACTATACCACCATATCGGCTTCAACCAAAAATGCCCCACAACACGGTCTAAAAAATTGTAATTTTGGAGACAACATTGACAAACCAAATTTAAATTCGCGGTCTACCTTGATGCTTAGCTTCCAAGCGGTAAGTCAGTAAACATACAATGCGAAGTTAAAAGACTGAAAAAGTCGACGAAAAGCCAAATTGACCAAATTTCAGTGGGATATCTTTAAAACTCAGGAACTAGCTTTCGTTTAAACTCACAGACGAGGCTAAATCGACGCAACTCGTCATCCTAATAATGTAGGTATAACTTTTAATGTGTGTATGTATCTCTTCTTCTACATGTACTTAAAAACATCGAGCCCAGGTATAATACCATTTTATTTCATGAACAGGAAATGACACGTTATAAATGAAACTAAAGCAGGTTTCAGTATTTTCAGTGCCAGGTTTTTTTTTGTAGTACCATGATTTCACTATTGACTCAAAGCTATTCAACTCTCTAAGGCTCGGAAAAGTTAGTATATACTTACAATTATTTTATATTAATATCACTCACCTCATCTACACCGATTCTGCGACAAGCTTCCAAAAAATTATCAACATTTCTGCGGCAACGAGCCATAGTTAGTTTGGACTGCAATTGAATGAAAAAATTAATATTTTTTCTCAGTAATTATTAAGCAGCTACTCACGACTCCCGGCGATGGCACATGTATACTGGCAACCGAACGTGGACGCACATAATTGGCCAAATGACAGAGAATAACACCATCGGTCAAGGCGGAAGCTATATCTTCCGGTAGTGTCATTTTGAGACGTGTTTCAATGATCTGAAATGATAAGAAAATCGAATACAAAATTTAAGCGGGTAAAAAAGATTTAAGAAACTATCTTCATTAATATTTCTGCAGTAAATAGTAATCAACAACTCACACTCCGCAGCTGTGTCATTAGCTCCGTCTCCTCGCGTTGGCGATCAAATTCGCGACGCATGGTAAAGCTAAGTTTCTCCGCAGGTATGTCGTGATTCCAGGTGACAGTGCTAAGCGTTTCAAAATAGCAAAAATTTACAATCAATTAGTAACTCAGACCAAATTACGGATGGATCGCACATGCTGCTTACCGATGCGTTTTCGCTGTGCCAAGTTTATTTGTGCCGCTCACCGGCGATTTGAGACCACCAATTGAAGTTATTTTATTATTATTCGCCAAAATGCCAACACCACCCAAGCCCCCGCCAACACCAGTATTACCATTAAGCGTTTTCATTGGACTATTTGGTTTCACATAACCCATGCAATCACCATTTACAAGCTGCTGGGCCTGTTGTGCGTGCTGCTGCTGCTGTTGCAACAGCAAAATTTTCTCAACCTCCTCTCCTGCAGTTGTTGTCGTGACTGGTTGTATTTGCTTTGACGTCGCCAGCGACGACATTAATTCGGTATTTCGTGATGGTGTCACTTTTTGCACCGGTTTCTTTGGTATTACAACACAATAATCGCTGCCAACATCGCCAACAACCACACCACCACCACCACCACCACCACCTCCATTAACACCATTTACCATTCCATTGAATATTTTTAAGCCGCCATTGGTGGCTGCAACGCCAACGCCAACACCTACTCCACCACCTCCACCGCCACCGCCACCGCCATTCTTCATTATCGATTTCGGTTGTGGCACTGTGTTGGCGCCATTCACAATTCGTATAATTTCATTGCAGCCACCATCGAGAGTACCGCCGTTGCTGTCCTCATGGTGTGGCATGTTGCCAGCTATGGAATTCAATGCATTCGATGCTTCGCTCATGTCATACAACATTTTTTGGCTGTTTTTGATTTTGTAAACACTCGATATTTCCAAATTGCGTTGCTGCTTGAGTGCCTCCTTGTATTCGCTGTGGACACCAAAAATGAGCGGTAATTAAGTTTTGAATAAAAATTTAATGTAAGTTATTATTACACCGTAAATTAAATTCTATATACTAATTGGGTATGATTACAAGACATCAATCTGAACTTCGTATGAGAAAATATATTTTTTTTATAACTTGGATGGAGTAAACTTTTGGATACCGATTTGATTTAACAGGTACGCATTTAAAAGTTTCCCAGGGTAGCCACATATACTTCCCAATTGAAAAATGAACGAGAGAGAGTCGATCCCTGTACGAAAGTAAAACAGTTTGTAATAATATATGTCGTCATCTAAATTTACAGACAATTTTCAGAATCTAATTATGAGATCACGATAAAAGCTGCTAACGCATTTTCGTTCTTGACAAAGTACTCTAACTTCTAAATTCCTTTAATAAGTATCTAAACGGGTTGTTACTTCTAAGAACCGAAACTGGCTTAACTAGAAAATTTTGCCTACATCGAATTGATACTGCTGCAACAGCCGGATTATTGCTCTATTAAGTTTAAGAAATACATAATTCTGTTGTACTCCAGCTTACTAACCGATAGGTTTGTGTGTTCCCCAAATTCTTATTGGACTTCTCATCGTTTCTGCCATTTTGTGCCCCAGCAATGTGTTGGTAATGCTCCATCATAGCATCCTCTTGGTCCGGTGACGAGCCATTACTCCCATTATTACTGCCATTACTGGAATTCGAATGCGCATAGTTTATATGTTGGTGTTGTTGCTGCGCCGTCGAATGCTGGTGCTGAGGAGTAACGGGTGCTGATTGCACTGTCGCCACTTGCACTGTATCCACTATACGTTTCGTTGGCGATTCAGTCGCATTAAGTGGCTTCACCACAGCCGCCGTTGGTGCTACCACACCACTACCTGTGCTCGAGACATTAGCTGACAACGATATTGACTCATCAACAATTGTGCTTGAACAGGATGTAAGCGATGCATCCATCAATTCTGAACTCAATGAGGGAGGCGGTGTTGTCGGGGTTTTACGTGCTGGCGAGTCCAATTTGGATTTAACTGTAAGTTGAACACAGGAAGTGAGTAAGTGAGCAGTGATTAGTAGTTGATCGAATTGCAATGAAAACAATTGTTTCTACAGTTGAGTATGTTTGTTTGTTAATGTATTTGTGTATGCTTGTGTGTGTGTGTGCTTTAAATACCATTTGGCATATCGTGTGACCAACGCTTATCAATGCCATCACAGGTGCTATAACCGGACTCAACGCCATGATGTCGCGGTACATGATTCGATTCGAGTACGCTGCCATTGCCAGCATGGCGTGGCGCGCTTCGCAATGTAGTGTAACCATCATAGTTGCCACCGGCACGTGAGCCCTTCTCGTCTTTGGCCGCTTGAGTTTCGAGAAATTTAAAGACATGTACGAGACCGCGAACACAGAGCTGTAGTAGGAAGAAAGTAGAAATCGGGCATTTAGAAGCATTTATAAGTACTACATGCATACACGGAGATGAATTTAAAATCGTGTTTGTAGAAAGTGTAGCTAATGTGACGAGTAATATTTCAAATGTGTACTTACACTAGCAGGCGGAGATGTAAGCGGATTATTTTCCAGATTCAACTCGACCAATGCGGTCATTTGGCGTATCTCCAGAGGTAGACTAGCGATGCGATTATTGCTGACATCCAACGACTCCAGCGTTAGGCAAGTCAATTCCATGATACAAAAAACAAGGTAGTTCCATTGTCACTTTTTCGTCGCCATATTAACAACCTGACAATTAAGCAGATTGTGACATTTCGTGCTACCATACCCAATATCTAAAATCCTTCAAATTTTCTTATTAATGTTTTGTCGATTTAAAAATATTTTGTTTTTAAGCATAGCATAATAAGAAATAAACAAGAAATAAGTGTGAAATTCCACAACATTTCTTTGAAACATTTTGCAACATGAAGCTAGCAACACAATTTTCATGACATTTTTAAATACACATGTATATTTTAAATTGTGTGAAAGCTGACAGTTTATAGAATTCAGTAGCGACGAAAACAAAGAGGGGTTAAGTGGTTAAACCTTACCCAAGCCGATCATAAAACTTGCGACGCAATTTCGGCTTATGCCTGTAGGTCTTGGCAAGAATATAATCCCTGAAGGTTTAGCTTAAAATGGTTTTCGGGATACACCCTGTGATCATGTTACTTTCCAGAAGGTGTGGCGCCCGATTTTCTGTACATATTTTCGTTGGAAAAATACCTTATCTCTGTATTCTAGGTAAATGCTTCCAGAGGTTTTTATGCGTCAACAGAATTTTAGTTTATTTGGCTTATACCGCTAGCTCTTTTGAACGGCTACGAGATTGTTTTCATATACCCCCATTTTTCATAGGTTTGGGATTGATTTCATTTACCTCTATTTCTAGTTCTACGGTGGCACGCCGCATTTTCCAATAAACTCTTATTTTTCCATGAGCTTAAGATTGACTTCATATACATATATCCATACAAAGTTCCAGGACTCTACCACAAATACTTCCAGAGAAATGCACTATGAAAAATTCGATTTGTATGGGAGGCTCTACACGCCCTTTAGATATCGGTTTTGTTTTAGCCTATAACCATTATTGGAAAACTTGTGTCCGAAATTTCAAAAAAAGCATTGTGACTCCTCAAGCGAAATGAACTAATGATTGCAAAAAATGAAATTAAACATCGTAGTTGACCAAAAAAGAATATTAGACTTCATTCTCTCAACTTCTCAGAATGTAGAAAAGCTAAGAAATATATAATAAGATAGGATATGTTAAAACAGTCTCCAAAACATTTACTAAAGACGACCCTGGACTAGACAAATCAGTTTTATTGAAAATTTGTTTTTATCTATTTATTTTATCCTTCAATTTTGGGTGTGTCAAAATTTTATGTGAAAACAATAGGTTTGTTCGTCGAGTAAAAAATTTGTACGAATTTGTACGAATTATCACGATTTTTGCCCAAATCGCGTTCGTGCAGACCAAAAAATTATCCAACACTCAAAAATTGTGAGAGCAAAGTGACAGTTCTCTTGGAGAGAAGTTGCAAATTCTTGCTGGAAAAAATTTTGCCAGCAAGAATTTGCAAACACGAAAAACATGTGGTTGTGGTGCATGGTTGCATTTTTGTCTACAATAATTTGAATAAATTAGTTCGTTAAATTTAAAAATTTATAAACGAGCGATTTTTTTATGAAAAAAGGAAGTAAATAATTGTTGATATAATTAATTTAGTTAATTCCAATGATTTGAACTTAATTCGGCTGAAAAAAATGGTATTCGCAATCGGAATGCAATTGCAACCAGAGTCGATTTAAGAATCCCGACAGCTAGTACGATGAAGAAATTGAAAGGTATTTTAAAGAAAGTCAGAACAACAAGAAATATACATGTATATCCTGTTTTTGGCCATCCGAAAGAATTTTAAAAATTCTATAAAAATTTTTTATGTTTGAAATGCAACCGTGGACGCCAGCTGGCAGCGAAACTTGCAAATTCCTGCAAATTTGCGTTCGTGCAGAAATTTGCAAGTTTCTCAACATGAGAGAGAATTTGAGAGAATTTTTTCTTACTCTCTGATATTTTGAGTGTTGGATAATTCTTGCTGGATTTTCGACGAACAAACCTAATATGTGTTGCTAGAAAAATTTTACGGCCCATGAGTTCCAAAGTAAATTCCATTGCTGTTAAATGGGCAAAGACAATATGTATGAAATAACACATCGAAATGTGTTATTTCAGTAATTTGTGTAAATGTGTAATTTCAGAATTACATCAGAATCACGTATCCGATATAGAAAACTACATTGTGAATTAATGAGATGACACGAGGACACTAACATAATTTTAAAATATGTTCACTAAAATTGTATTAATATTAAAATAATGATTTGGCAAGTTGTTACCGAATTTAATGTAAAATTTAAACGTTTTCAAAATAAGATATTGATTAGTTTTAAAAGGTATATATTAATACAACTATTTATTTTATAATCCCAAATTTAGGATATAAAATGTCCCACACCAAAAAACTTACAATTGGGTAATGCCGCTTCGAATTTTTCACAATTGAGCAATTGTCAAAAATCTGCTTTTTAATCAAAAAGTTGTTTATTGAAACTACCTTCTTTTTTGTATCATGGTCAATTCTATAAAAATTAGACAAATTATTCAGCTAAATGTTTTTAAAAACTTTTTTCAATTTTCAATTTTAAAAACAGAATTTTAAGAGCAAAAATATTATGCTTTGGTAAATCTTTGAAACGTAAATCCAACTCCAACTCTGAGTTGTAAAAAAAAGTTGTAAAAGCGGCAAAATTCGTTTGAAAATACTTATATGTATTTACATACATACATACATACATACATACATACATGAGAACATACCACTTTACAAGCAAACAAAAAAGTTCGCAATGTTGAGAGATTTTAGAGAGTAATATAGGAGTTAAAGCACTTGCCCACATATAATTATAGGGCGTTCCGGTTACGTAGACCCGACTGTCGTGGGAACGAGAAGTTCGTCGTACACGCTCTTATGTATTTTTGCAAGGCAATTTCGAGACAAATTTTTTTTTGCCCAGCCTAGGTCATTTTTCGGTCATAACTACATATGTACATTTGGCAATAAAAACATTTTTTAAATAGTTCTACTAGAATTATCAAAAAACTTCCTTAGCAAAAGGCTAATGATTTTTGGAGAGCTTCAATTTACTGGCGTTAGGGTGGAACGTTACGGTGATAAGAACTGATATCTGGTGGGCAAGTACTAGAACGCGGTACTGGAGGTCAATGAACTTTGTCTTCTCGAGACAAGAACATCGATATGTCATACTTTAAAATCCGACTGTAAATGCCGAAGATATAACGAAAAAAATGTAAAAAGGAAACACCTACCGTTGAGCAAAGAAAAAATTATTTTCGAATATTGTCTTGCAAAAAAAATTTAGACTCAGAAGTGTACCGCGAACTCTTTTTTCTAGTTCAAGTACAAGTGCACTTCGTAGTGACCTGGGAGCATATTTGCAGGTTTAAGTCTCTTCTGGATGGTTTACTGCTATACCTAAACAAAAGCGTCAGCGTTGTCTGGCTGTCAAAAAATTTTCATGCCCATACAATTTGTATAAAGCATACAACGCGGCGTAAACGCTGAGCGGTTGGAAGATCCGATTTTGACAGAGCGTTAGGTATTGAAGTTGGCTGCAGAAAACGGCGAAACTGTTATTTTCGTGTTACACACAAGCAAACCTATGCTTATTGTTGGTGTTATTTCTGCATTTGACGTAGCGTTGACGCTTTTGTTTCCGTATGGCACTTCGGCGCTAACGCTACGCCTCAGAATCCGCTCCGCCCAATTAGGTAGAGTCAAAATCCTATCAGATTGCTGGCTTATCCTATGGTGTCCACCCACTATATAGTCACCAAGAACGAGTTCAAAAACTGCCTCTGCATATTTCTTATTTGACTCTACATATAAAACCGCCGTCTCCGCTGATCCTGTAGATTACTCCCCAAACAACATTTTGATCTTAAGTGCTTTCTGTCAAAAGATCATGAAAATGGGAAAGGGAACTTTTATTGAAAGACTAACTTAGGCAGAATTTCCCTGTAAGTCTACTAAAAAAGTATCACACGCCTACAAATTCCATAAAAGAACGTTTACAATGTCGACTTAGAGTTGAGAGTAGAGTGTATTTTCTTAATATTGTTAGCGTTTAATATCAGCTTAAAGTGAAGTTTTGCTTTCTTAGTTAACTAAATAAATATTTTTTGAGCTTCAAGTCTAACGCACTCCAAGCTAATGTATAAACAGAGAACTCAACTCCACGCTAACATTGTAAACGTTCCTTAAACATCTGCAAATTTAATTTTCCATCGATGAATTATACAAAACACTTCTTTATTGGAGTAATCACCCACAAAAAAACACAAAAAACAAATCCCCCTTCATTACTCACCACGCGGTAAATACATCAACTGATTGCTGCGCAGAGAAAATGAACGCAACGAACGCAGCTCGCCAATACGCGCCGGCAGCGTTGACAACTGATTGTATGAGGCATCCAAATCGGTGAGGCGGTCCATGCGCCCCAACTCGTCGGGCAATGCCGCCAGCCGGTTGTTGGAAACCAGCAACACTTGCAGCGGCAGAAAGCAGATCTCGCGCGACAGCGACGCCAACTGATTGCTGCGCAAATCCAAATACGTCAACGATGTCAAATGCTTCACCGATTCGGGAATGCTGCGTATGGTATTGTGGTAGAGCAGTAGCGTCTCCAGAAATGAGAATGTGGTGATCTCCTCGGGTAGCTCGCAAAAGCGATTACGCGATAAATCTGTTGGAAGAAAAATAAGAAAATAAATACAAATTAGTAGGAATTATGTCTGTACATATGTACAAATATATATTGCAAAAAAAAGTAGAGTTTTTAAAAATGGAGAAGAGCGCCCAAAAGGGCAGATGGGCTGATAATTCAATTGAAAAGCGTGAAGAACTGAATTAAGCCAAGTGAAATGGATTTGCATGCAATGTGCGGTTCAAGCGAAGGCGAAGTTGCTGCAGTGTAGTAAACGCGTGGCTGCCAGCCGTTCGCGTTTTTGCTTATCTTTTTTTTTTGGGAATTTTTCAAATTAATCAACGGCTGGCTGCCAAATGCCGGCAGACTGGTAGGCAAGCGAGCTTATTATTATTTTATTTTGGCTTAATTTTCTTGCTTTGTTTTGGTTTATCTTATCTCATTTTGATAGGTTCTTGTTTTTCTTGCTTTACTTTTGTTTCCATTTCATTATCTATTGTTTTGTTTTATGTACGTATTTGTTTTATTATTCGAACAAAGTTGTTTATTATTTTTGTCTTCCCCTCGAGTCAGCCACGCCCACTGTTCTGCACTATGCAACTCTGCCTTCAATGCTTCACTGCAGCTCGCTTGCTTGCTCAGTCTGCCTACCCTCTGCCCTCCCCCTCTGGTGCCTCGCCTGCTTGCTTCCCCACAGCTGTCTGCTGCTGAATGCACATTTCGTAGAAACGCACATGGAAGCCGTCGTCGTCGTCGTCGAATGCATTGCAGTTGATATAGTAAATATGGGGGAAATAGCTTAGTACGTGCTGACAACTGCGTGGCCTATTTCTGTTGATCCTCGCAGACACACACACACACTCATATAAGTATACCTTTGCACACATGTCGCCGTCGTACATACAAACATGAGCACTCCCTATTATATTTCGCATGTTGCAAGTCGCTTACGAAAACCGGCTGGTTTTCATGGGGAAAATTATATAGCCGCATTAGCACGTTTGAATGATTTTTCCATTCCATTCAATTGCGTTGAACCGAAATTCCATTCCAAAAGAACCAAAAAAGGGTTCCGAAAGAATTGAAACTTGATCCCAAAAGAACCGAAAAACGGTTCCGAAAAACCGAAACTCGATTCCAAAAGAACTGAACAGTAACGAAAGAACCCAAAATGATTCCGGAAGAACCGAAACTCGATTTCAAAAGAACCGAAAAAGGGTTCCGGAAGAACCGAAACTCGATTACAAAAGAGCCGAAAATGGGTTCCGGTAGAACCGAAACTCCATTCCAAAAGAACCGAAAAAGGATTCCGCAAGAACCGAAACTCCTTTTTGGTTGTTTGTGTTTCCTACAGGGTAGGAGTATGATGTATGGTGGAACGATTTCGTTCTGAAAAATGACACTGAGGATGGCACAACGCCGAAACCGGTTTGTCCCCAACCCAAATTTGACAAGGGATGACGGAAAACCGAAACTCCATTCCAAAAGAACAGGAAAACGGTTCCAGAAGAACTTTATATGATCTCAGAATAAACGAAAAAATAAGCAAAAACAAGTGTTCCAAAAGCACTGAAAACGGATCCTACAGAACCGAAAATCGGCCACGAAGCGCACATTCCACTATATTGTTTTGGCATATATGTTATAGAGTTTTAGTTGACCTACCAAAGTTTGTTCGGTTCGAGGAACTTCGTTGTTTTTGATGCTATCGACTTGAAATTCGGTTTGTATTCATATTATGAAGTTCTGAGTTTACAACATTACTTAGTTTCATATGAAACCTTAACGTGGAAAACGTGCATTTAAATTTAATTTCATGTATTTTATTTTTATAAAATTTTCGTAACACAATTATTAACCGAGGAATGAATATAATATACATATTTATTTATTCCATTACCTTACTTTATAACAAAAATATTAGAAGAAATTGTTTGATCCTTTTCGCCTCTTTTCTCTGATATACTATCCGTGGTGCGATTGTAAAAAAAAAAATCATCACGTATTATATGGAAGAAAATGCGCACACCGTCCATCAAAAAAAAATTCTAAACATCTACAGTAATTTGGAACGACTTGAAACTTGCACTTTGAACTTGTAATTGAATGGGCTACAAAACGGCATACCCGAAAATTTTCTAAATATTCTAATTAAAAATTTTGAAATTATGATGACAATTTTTTGAAGTTTAATTAATTTTTTTTGCAATTTGTGCAAGCTTTTAAACTTTTATTATTGTGGTTTCTGTTATAGATTGAATTATATTTTAAATGAAAATTATTAAAAATAAATAAATAAATATAATTTGCAAACAATATCATTTTGAATTTCGTTGCTAATTAGTTGATCGCATCTCTATATGTAATTTGTGCATTAAACAAATTAGTTCGAAATTAAAAAAAGAGAATTTTTTGAATATTTAATTAAAAATATCCTGGCCAGGATTTTTTTAAGCAACCCGCATGCAAAATTTTAATAGATTTCGTCCATTAAACAGATGGGTGAAGGCCGTGCCCTATTCGGATCTTCTACTATAATTTTTTTTAAATTCATATCTACTTCTCACAGTTTAGTGCCCCTAGAAAAGAAAAGAGGTTGCGTTATGTAACCGTATGTTCGATGTTGGGCGAAGTGGCGTGCTGGCATGCTAGCGTGCCCTGGCCTAGCTCGTCGGTGGGGGGGTCATGTGCACTTGCCTAACTACCAGCTACACTAACAAAATATTTAAGTCATGCCTGATTAGGTGTGAAAGAAACCAGTCCAGTCAGGTGGAGTCTCCCAAACACTTCGGCGTACAACTTTCGCGAATCCTTGGGCATTACTCTGACTCCTCACCCGTAGTAATGCCCCCTAAGCCTGACTTAAGTACGTCTGTCAACAGTCAGTTGTGTCGGGTCTAGTCCCGTCACCCCGCCATTACCCCCATGTCCCCTCTGCTGCACAAGTGCAACACCCACACACCAAAGAATAAAAATTTAACCCTCCATACCTTTAACAATATCTGCTCAACCTATCATATTCATGTCATGT